TACCAAGAGGTAAATGATCAACTCTGATCTTTTTTTTGGTGATTAGTGATTGTAATCTATCGAAATTTTCTCACATTCGTTCATTATATCAAAAAATAAAAAATAAAAAAAGAATTGTGAAGTGTGTTTATTGTCACATTGTACGTGCGTTTATTACCATTGTGTGCTGTTGTTTTTCTATTCGATCAAACTATTCGTCGGTGTGCGCGTATTGTTCACGCCTAGAAGTTTGTCCGACTCAAATTTAATATTATACGATGCCGGTACACGAGCTCTTACGTGAAGCCGTGTTACTTACGCTTAGTCGTGGAAGCGAACGTATTGATAGAACAGCGATTATAACTGCTCTTGGACAAATTACTACCATCACGGATATTGATTCATTAGGAAATCTCGGGGATTTGTCAGAATGGTATGTAATTTTTAAAACGAAAACTGCTCGTGAAGATGTTCTCAAGGTTCCTGAATTGAAGATTGGTGATCAAATCTTTTTAATTAGTGAACCTTATAAACATGTTAAAATCGTTCGTCTATTAAACTTACCTACATCAGTACCTGATGAAGATATTCGAACCATTGCGTCCAATTGGGGTGGTATCGTTCTAAGCGTTGATGCTGAAAGGTTACCTCATCCTTTTGAAGCAATCAAATCGTTCGTACGTCGTGTTCGTATACATTTTTCATCTCGCCAAGATGAGGATAAAGTTCCAATCTCATGTCGATTCGGTGGATTTAATGTCTCGGTACAATTGGAAGGTCGTCAAAAGGTATGTTATCGGTGCAAACTAGCCGGGCATATCAAAGCTGAATGTATGGCACTGAAGTGTCAAAAGTGTTACGTAATAGGTCATGATGATCCAAGCTGTCAGCAGAAACGATCCTATGCTACCGCAGTTGTTTCTACCCCTCTGGATGTAGATCATGCGGCACCACCAGTTAATCAACTAAATGTTGCACGTGAGGTAACATCAGGTTTTCCATTGGTTAATTCGTCATTAGTATTGCCAAAACGATTACCGTATTGCCGCAAGTGCAAACAACAAGGACACAAAAAAAAGGATTGTACACGACACACAATCCTTTCAAACAAGGTGATGAATAAAGATGGTAATGGGCAGACAAACGAAAGTGGAGATATGAATCAGAACACTCCAACAGTTAATACAACTGGGTCGAGTGATATTGATTCAGCTTTTCCCGTGGTAGCTCGAGAAGAATTACTTTTCGAAAGTCCACATTTAATGGCAGGTGATGAAGAACGTGATGTGATTGCACCGGTACTCATGCGTGATGTAGCACTAAACGAATTCAATCAAGCCGCTGATGTAAACTCTTTTCAATCGATGTCAGGTGGAAATGATGAACATATCTCAGATGTTTCTGCCCTTCAACACCAAGTATTAATTGATGCTTTTAAAAATGCAGATAATGAACTTAAACGTACAAATGCTGATCGAAGCATCGACTCGGACGTTGATATGGATCGTAAGAAATCACATATATGTAATTCATCAACCTCAACCTCAGGTGAAACTGAAGGTGGCGAAGCGGTTGAGAACTAAAACGAGAACAAAAAAAAATTAAAAGTAAATAAAAAAAAAAAGGTTTAAAATCAAAGAAGCTATCCAAATTAAAATCCCATCTTATTGATCAAACTATGCTCAGAATTATATCTTATAATATTAGGGGAATAACAACATGTAAAAAACAACAACTGCTTAAAATATGGTTAAACCAAAATCCACATGACATTGTTATGCTCCAAGAAACACATATGACAAAATTTTTCCATCTTGAAAATTTTAAAAATTCTTTTCTTGATTATAATATTAGGGGGG